GAATAGGCAAAAGAGATGGAGAGAGAGAGAGAGAGAGAGAGAGAGAGAGAGAGAGAGAGAGAGAGAGAGAGAGAGAGAGAGAGATGAAAGTAAAAGGAAATAAAATAGGAAGACGATAATTCTGGTGACATTGTTCAAGGTGAGACGATGATAAAAAACCATCTCAACAATATTAATACGTTTACAAGGAAAATTGAATAAGAATCATTTTCATGGTGGAAAAAATCACTAAGCAGAACTTTTTTCGCTTCTTTCCACCTTAAGGTTCATATGTTTTCCTCCCCCTTGGTTGATGAATTATCTACCCATTGAGACTTAATATTCACCGAAGGTATCATGCTAATCATCAGAATCCATGTAAATTCATTTAAATTGAAGATTTAATTTGAATTTGCTGCAAAATTCATAACAATTAATAGCATAAAGTACAGGCTATTCAACTCACGCATATTTTAGTTATGTCAAGAACCAATAAGTTTAAAAGATCAAACTCGTAAGAATACATATCGGACTGAAGGACTTCGAATAAAAGTTTCAAGGTATTAGGTCATTTCACGATAAACCTATCTAGGTCATTTGAAGGTTTTTGAAAAGAAGAGCAAAATTGGTCCATGGTCCAAGTTTCAATTAATAATTAAAATCATTATGGTGTACCACGATTTATGTCAATTTTCCAAACCACTGCTTATTTCATTCAAATTAATGGCTCTCCGTTATTTGAACTGATATTGAAAAACTTAGTGATGGGATAACTTCTTCTTTTCAAAAAACTTAAATGACCTCTAGATAGGTTTATCAATGACCAATAATTTGAAACTTTTATGCAAAGTCCTTCAGTCCTGATATGTATCCGTACGAGGTTTGATCTTTAAACATTGGTTCTGACTTATAATCAAAATATGCGTAAAATGAAGTTGAATAGCCCTGTATAACTAATCAAATTGAATTTAATTTCCAATGCAATTCAATATCAGTTGATTGCAACTTTCTCAGAGTAGGTATGAGTTTGATCAAACTGATTAAACTGGTCATTAGGAAATAATTATAATCAGTACAATTTGATTATGATAACAAAATGATTAGATTATGATCAAGTTTAATATTGTGCAATTAGTGAATTTGATTAGTTTTTGGTTTAAACACTTTACCTGAATATTAACTGATTGTGTTAATTTAATTAGTGAAATAGGATTAAGTGATTAAGATAAGGTTAGTATTGTGGTTCTGATCCAATTATAATATTAATCAGAGTATGTCTTCAATATAATCACGAACAATTGAACATGAACCTACAGGAGCCATTTGAATTCATGATTAAATCATGATTCTGATCAAATAACACTGATTGCTGTTGATATATAATTTGATTGAACAATTGAACAGTTTTTCCTTGGGAAAGGGTTACTTATTGAATAATTGATTTGGAATGGATTTTGTTTCCTCTGTCCAATCAGAATTAATCATGAAAAATCATTATGGACATGATAATTTCCGATGTAAATATGAACTTAAGTCAATAACAATGGACGTTGAACTGGAATAGTCTCTTTTTGATGAAATAAGAACATGATGATTACCATGATTATTTTATGTATTAATAAATAATCATCTTCATCTTTTCCTCATTGACACCCAATCCCTGTCTTTAGAACTATCTAATCGAGGTTATCAATTGAATGGAAGATGATGAGGATGAAACTGAGAGAGAAAAAAATATTTATGGAAAATCATTCCGTCTAAATACTAGTTGAAGCAAAAATAGAATCGAGAATAATGAAAGAAAGAGTCAAACAAGAAACAATGATGATAACAACACGGATTCTATCTTCGAACTTGTCGATCGATAATCGATTTGAAGTTCTCTCTTTCTTCCGCAGTGTCTTCAGTTTCTTCTTGTTATTATCTCCTTTTGTCTACTTTTCTTTACCATCTTCTTATTTTTCTTCATCAATGAGAGATAAAACTTCCTGAGACATCGAGAGTTTTATTACAAAGACTTTTAAACGTAATGAGAGGAAAGAACATAAAAAAACATTCAACTCGAGGTTATTAAGAACTTTTTTTTTTCGTTCTCTTCTTCCTCGATCAACACCAATCTTATGATACTAAATGATTACACTGGACAGAAGAAGAAGATGATGATGACGATAAAGATGATGATGATGATAACAAGAAAAGAATTGACTTGGAAAATCTGAATCAAGTTTGTTTTCCCTTTGAAAATGATTCAATTGTTTTTCTTTTAAACCTAATTGATAATCGAAACTTGTTAGATCAGAAATTCGTGATAATAACAATCTACTTATAAAGGATAAAATGAAATTCAGTAGACAATTGGTTAGCCTTAAACAAAGTACAAAGAGTTGATTGAAATGGACAAAACCATAAAGTTCACAATCAGTTAACTCAAGTTACAGCATCCATTGAACATGAAGGTGAACTTGGGATTTTGTATCTTTTTTTCCTGGTGATTGATTCTGAGATGGACACAGAATTGACCAAACACAACACAGACAAATGCTGGGAATCTCTATCATTTGATTGAGTTACCATGAATTTAGTCTCACAAGTCTCTGGTTGTTTTTCTAAAATTCTAACAACAGAAAAACTATTAGAACTTTTTTTTCTATCCCATCATCTGAATAATTTCCGTCTAAAGGTTTTCACCAGAGATCTATAAGATCTGATGTCCATCTCGAATGATCAGAAGACTTAATAAGAATAAAAGAGAGTTTCATCATCGAGATATTTTCATTTTCTTTCGCCGTCTTTTGAATACTAAATTATAACAATCTTTATGGATTCAGAATTAATTCAGAATAATGTCTTTTCCCTGTTCTGTCTGAAACATTAGACTCATGAATACTCTGGAATTGATAAGTTACATCAAATCTAATCTTATTTCAATGTTATCTGACACAAAGTTTCATATTTTGTTTTTCTTGTTCATTGTTTTCATTCCAAATATAATATTTTTCTTAATACAATAAATCACCATCATTTAACTAAGTCATATTGATAGTTGTACTGATATGATTCAACAAGCTTTGCATCGGTGCATAAGTAAAATTAGTAAGTCAGATTACGTTGACTTACTTGACTTGATTACATTGAGCAATTAGATCGTTTATCACTATATTTAAATGATTAGTGATTTTTATGGCTAGGGCAATTATCAGCATATCAAGACCAAATTTCGCCACTCGCTTCACATGAATTTTTCCTCTCTGCCAGAGAATTTGTTCTTTCGATAAGAATTAAAATTTTCGTTTTTTATCATGAACTTTGATGTCTAATTTTCAAATTGACCATATTGATACTAAATTATCAATAAGATAGTTTTTCCAAATTAGTTTGGTCATATTTGACGCTATCAAAAATAGAGCATGGAATATAATATGCTGAATCAGGCCAAAAAATTGAATTATTAAAACCATGAGCTGAGTAGAAAGGTAGTAGACTGGAACGTAAACATTTTTGAATGCCGGAATTCAGGTGCTAAGTGGGGGAAACTACGTGTTCACAAACCGCTATCCACTTGTAAACTTGTATCCACCAGTCCGTAAACGAATATAACCAAATATCCATGAGAGTAGTAGAAAACTGCCTTCTCCGGATCAATTTCAGCCTTGGCTGAAATTGAGCTGTGAATATTGTTGGAAACTTGATGAAATGAAGGAAAAAATTCAACTGATATTTGTTGTTTCAGTTGATTTTCTTTTATACTATTTTGAAACAGTTTGTTGGTTTAATTGAGATCTTCACATTGACACAATTTAACTAAATTAGTAATAATTTACTCTTCTCACAATCGCGGTGAGGATTCAGCAGTTAAACGCGCAGTCAAAACAAAAATGAGTAAGGTAACTTATCGGTGGTGTTGTCAATAACTTAGTGTGTAAATTTATTGTAAAGAGTTTCGTTTAAATAGAGAAAAGAAAAGATGTCCACAATTGGTCACTTTCTTGTTATTGGTCGACTCATAATTAGTGGCAGTTGAAGTGACCTGGAAGCGATCAATGGACTCAGGATTATCAAGGTCATTAAGGACAATAAAAATAAAGAAGGAAAAGAAAGAGGATTAACTCGGAGACGAAGAGGTTGGAGCACAAAGAGAAGCGAGAGAATTGGATGGTCGCAATGGACGAGGCAAGGAGGACAAGTGACCATCATATGGATACCATTCAAAAGGATTACAATTAAGGAGCTTAAACAATTATAATTAGGATGAGAAAGAGTGAAAAAGCCAAAGGGAAAAGATGAAAAGATGAAAAGATGAAATTGGTAAATTAAGGTAATTGGTCCAAACGTTTGTGTCCATATCTCGGTAAGTAATTTACTTAGAGTTTTAATTTATATATATTTAGATTAAGCTAATCAAGGTCTTTCTAATGATATATAACTTTCGTGTGAATATAAACTAATTCACTAAAATTAGTGTCGGTCCCAATGGTTCACTTGGACCAGAAAAATGGGTAAAAAATTAATGTTTTTAGTTAATTGTTGCTCAACCAATTTACCGATTAATTTGGTTTATATATTAATCGAACCTACTAAACAAGACCTTTGATTTAATATAAAACATTCTAACTGTTAATTGTTGTTAATCAAAAAGTTGACCGATTTCAATGAATCTCAATGTTAACTCTATGGGGAAAACCAGATATGTTGTTGTTGTTTCCCAATGGGACTAAAGTTGTAGTCATGGCTTTAGTAGTAGAATCATGAACTGAACTCGAGCTAATGATTGATTCAAACCAACACCTTCCCTTGCTCCAATCTCGGGTTAATCAATATTAAGGTAATTACAACATTTTCTTAATGACGGTGAACAAAGTGGTTTAGTAAACATATCGGCCGGTTGTTTCTCTGTTGGAATGAACTGAACATCAATCTGATTCTTTTCTTGATGATCTCTTATGAAATGGTAACGAACTTCAATGTGTTTAGTTCGTTTGTGAAAAACACTATTTTTTGATAATTTGATTGCTCCTTGATTATCACTCATAATTTTCGTTGGTAATTGACACTTTTAAATCTTTTAATAGTTGTTGATACCATAAAATGTCTTTAGTACAATCAGCAATTGCCATGTATTCGGCTTCAGTAGTTGACAGAGCGACACTTTTCTGTAACTTCGATGACCATGAAACTGGTGAATCTCCTAAAGTGACCACAAATCCAGAGGTAGACTTTCTCGAGACTAAATCTCCTGCATGATCGGCATCACAATAACCAATTAATTGTAAATTTTCAGGTGAAGATGAGTAGGTAATGCCAATATCGATTGTACCTTTAAGAAATATTCGTTTTACCGATTTCCAATGTTGTTCATTGTAACAACAATTAAATTGTGACGATTTGTTTACTTGATAAGTAATATCAGGTCGACTGATTATCGAAAGGTAAAGGAGAGCACCAACAGCTTCTTGATATGGATATTTTGTATCGGGAGGTTCAAGTGATGAAATTAATTTAACATTGGTGTCTCCGGGTGTCAGGGAAAATTCCGTCCTCATTGATTTTCTTTCAATATTCCTAATGGAACTTTTTCCCAAAATCTTTAGACAATTGAACTAATCAAAATTAGTCTAGTCTAAAGACGTTTTCATTTTATTTTAATCTTTATTTTAACTTTTTATTTCAATTTACCTTTGAGTAATTTGTTTTTCTTTTATTTATGATTACTCTAATGAGACATTAATCTGACCTTATGGTTAATGATATTAATCTAATGATTAATTTTAATCTCATCTTCTCCCCTTATCTTATGTACTCTGATAAGGCTATAACCTTTTCTTTATTAATTTTGTTTTTCTTTGTAACCAACTTGATGATTGGGCATAAAAAAGCCAAGTTACCATTTATGGTAATGTCTAATGACAAAGCTTAATGGCGCTAAAATTATGTTCCAATTATCAACCATATTTAACCAAAAAGAAGTTAGTTAACTCTGAGATCTTCAAGAGTAAATAACTCATTCTCTAAAGAGAAAATTTAACTTTCTTTGTGTAAAGGCTAAGGCCTAATTTTCATGTTCTTTCTTTTAATTTTCATTAATAAATGTTTCAGCAGAATTTACAATTTCTAATAATCTTAATTCAGTGAGTAAACTCGGATAAGTGAGTTAAAGTTATCCTAAAAGAATTTGGTAAGACTGGAATTGTGAAGGGCCAGTCGAATCTCTTGTGATAGTAGCTTTTAATAACTAAAGTTAACAATTAACCAATTGATTCTCTTTACGTTAGTAGTCTAGATTACCTTAGTTAGAATCCCCTACAAAAGCCTTATCCACCTCATCACATCACATCATCTCTCCAAACATTCATCTATTTTTCCCCTTTCACATGGCGAGGATACCAGGATATCTTTAATAATCACCCGTGTTTCAACTCTAAAAAGTGTTAGTGTAATTCTGTGCTGTTAAAGTGCTAAAGCCAATTAACAAACAAAAACTCAAAAGAGTAAATGGTTACTCGTTCAGGAAAACAATTCCAAAAAGAACTTTCAACAAATTCTCTAGAAAGAACAAACTCTAACGAAAGTGTTTCATCAAACGTGAGCTCTATCGCTACAAGTTACTCTTCTACCGTCCCGTACAATTACTCGCCCGACAAGATGGATAAAGTGTCAACCTTACCAGTTGATGAAGTCATTAATCTTCTAAAGAAATACGAGGTCACAATTCCTTTAAGAAGCCAAACAACCCGGAAACTAAAAGAGGTAATAAAAACTCATTTCGTATTACATGGTACTCAGATCTCAGAAGAAGACATAGGAGACCTAATGGTAAACGAAATTTCCGAGGAAGAAATCCCAGAGTGGTTAACGTGCTCGCAAATTGGGATTAGTCGAACCGAAATTCAGAAGATATTAACTGAAGTTGGTCGAACAATCGAAGATATTGCCGCTTCATCAGAGGACCTGAAGTCACTCAAATTACCAATAGTTACCCGTCGGAAATTGGAAAAGGTAATTGACGAATTTAATAGGAGGAATCGCGCTGATTCCCCGCCTATGGAGCTAGAAGACCTTGAGGAAGAAGCATCAACGATTGCTGATGTTACAACAAATTCTAAAGAATTACTAATGTCTGGACTTAAAATGATAGCTGAACAATTCGCGAATTCAACAAGAAAAGATCCTAAAGTGATCGAATTCGTCAAAGGTGAAAACATGTCAGAATGGATTGACAAAACAGTTAATCGCCTCGATTTGGAAGCTTGTGACGAAGCTACTAAACTAAGATGTTTAAAAAAGGGGCTCGCACACGAAATACTCAGCTTAAGCCAGCGTATTGATGCTAACATAGTTGACTATGGTCTTTATGTAAAAGCTTTAAGAGAAAAATTAGCAATGCCCTCGTTGGTTGCTATGTCTCATTTCAAGTTGCGAAATTACAAATACCATGTAAGCAACACACCAACAGAATTCCTAATGGAATTGAAAAAATTAATCACCCAAGTGAAAGGTGCCCCTCCTGAAGAGAAAGGATTTTTATTCGATGTCATCACCCATTTGCCGGACAATATCCAACAAGAGATATATGATCTTGGACAAAATCAAAGTGAGGAAGGAATCCTCAACGTAATGTTTAGACATCATTCCAATTTTAAACTTCAAAGGAGAAAAGTCGAGTTTCAACTCAACATGGAAATCGTAATTTCAAAGGATGGTAAACCTAGAGGACATGAGAGCATCTCATCCGCCTAAAGGTAACGGAAAATTTTGTACTGAATGTAAAAGAATGGTCACAATCGTGATGAATGTTTTATCCTTCATCCTGAACTTAAAACTTATAAGTCTAAACAAGAAGCCCAAGCTGCTACAACAACTTCTCAAGCTAAAGCTTCTAAGCCTACAGTTCAATCGTTAGCTGAACTTATTTCTGATTCAATGTTACCTGATGGTATGAGAGACAACAAAGTTGTGTTCTCAGTTTCAAACAACGAAACACCAGTGTTAACACAATTAGGTGATATTATTGAACACATGGCTCTAGCGAATCTAACCTTCGTTACACCTGAACGATACTACCTTGGTTCTTCTCGTGTGCTGTTAGATAGTGGAGCTACCGCTTCGGTATTGGACTATGAGAAAGCCCGTGAACTTGGTGTTCACATTCGACCAGCCATGTGCCCTAAAAGGAATTGCTGGAACTCTAAAACTATCGGATATGCTTACGCTGCAGTAAGACATGTCTTTACCTGATACCCGATTGTTAAAGATACAAATTGTGGAAAATTTTGAGCCAGTTTTCTCTTAGGAAATACTTTCTTTCATCTGTACTACATGAACATTGATTCAAATGGCTATTACCATACCTGTTCTGCTCGTGCTGAAGCAGATTCAAAATTGTTACCTGCTAACTTCTTCTTTCGCTTCTGTACTCCAAGGGAGACAGAAAACATTCTATCCTCTGCTGCTAAGCCTGGACTTTGTCAAAAGACTCGTCTATCCATATTGGAAGAAATTAAATTCGAGGATGAACATGAGGAAGAAAAAAGTCCAACAAAGATTGAGACTAAAATTGATTATGATATCTTGGAAGATAAAAAGCAAAATGCTAAAGCAGTTGATCAACAATTCATCTTAAAAGTCACCGAAATGGAAATGAGTGTGAATGAAAATCACCATTTAGATTTTCGAAATCGTATTAAACAGCAAATCAATCCAGATTTATCCAAAGACAAAAAGAAAGATCTAATAGATCTACTGGAACAGTTTCCTAACGTCTTTAGTAAAGATCGAAAAGACCTTGGTTTCGTCTCTAAAGAGATTTGTCCTGTTACGATTAATATCGGAGATAATGTTATCCCGTTTCAAAAACCTTATCCGGCCACAATTGACAAAAGGAAAGAGTTTAAAAAGATAATCGACGACCTAAAGGCTGCTGATATCGTCGAAGAGTCAACCTCAGAAGGAGGTTGTCCATCAATGTTGGTACCCAAACCTGATGGTACCTTTAGGATGGTCATTGATTACAGGTTATTGAATCGATTGACTAGTGTCCCTAAATTTCCAATGCCTCGAATCGAAGATTGTTATGAGACAATCAGAGGAGCTCGATATTTCAATAGTTTTGATTTATCACAGGGCTATTACCAAATTGAACTTCCTGAAGAAGAAAGAAGAAAAACAGTTTTCGTCACTCCAGATAGTAAACTCCAGTTTAAAAGACTTCCTATGGGACTAACGGGAGCTCCGTTCATTTTCCAAAATTTCATCAATAAAGTATTGGATGGCCTCCAGTATAACCAATGTATCGGTTATTTTGATGATGTGCCAGTTATGGGAAGAGATTGGAAAGAATTACTAGAGATGACTAAAGTCGTGTTACAACGTTTTCAAAAATTCAACTTAAAAGTTCGTTTGGAAAAGTGCAAATTCGGATATGAGGAAATCCCTCTTCTTGGACACTTGGTAAATGGAGAAGGTATAAAACCAGATCCAACTAAAGTTGCTGCTTTAAAAGCACTTCCATATCCAACCTCAGTTAAAGAATTGCAGTCGATAATGGGTTGTTATAACTATTTTTCACGGTATATAAAAGACTTCGCTAAATTAGCCGCACCGTTATACCGATTAATTTCTAAAGAAAGAAAATTTAAGATGTTGCCTGAAGACAAAAGGCATTAGATCATTTGAAACAATCACTGATCGAAACTACAATGCTAACGCATTACAACCCTGATCTTAAAAGAAAAATTGCAGTGGATGCATCTCATATTGCCGTTGGAGGAATTTTACTCCAAGAGGACAATAAATCTGAAAATTATCATAAAGATACACCAATCGACAAAATTAAAGATTGGGTTCCGATATCTTTTTTCTCACAAAAATTGCTAAAGCACCAATTATCGTACACCGTCTCTGAAAAGGAGTTATTGGCGATACTAATTGGAATCGAGAAATTCAAACATTATTTGGATGGTACAGAATTTCTGGTCGAAACTGACCATCACGCCTTATGTCAGCTACCAAAGATAAACTTCAAGAATGGTAGATTACAACGGTGGGCAATTATGCTTGGAGCATATAATTTTAAAGTGGCCTATCGGCAAGGACCAACTCATGCCCCCGATTGCTTTAGCAGATACCAGAACGAATGGGAACACCGAAAGGTAATTGATCCAGAACAAGAATTTTTGGACAAAGTTTATTCCTTCAATTCTAATGAATCATTCGAAGAACATGGTATCGATCGTGCTGTTAACATTATAATGTTTGGTCTTGGAAACCCATTTTATAACCTAAAGGAACCAAAGGAAATCATTTACTTGGTAAAAGAAACAAATCCATGGTTCGAAAAGGTAAAAGCTTTTCAAAGCCAAGACCCAAATTGCAACAAAATCAAAGAGTTAATACTGCCAACAACAAAGCAGCTAAAGCTAAATTTCAAATAAGAAATGATTTAGTTTATCGAATCGACCCAAAAATTTTCGGTCAATATCGATTAATCATTGGTCCTGAAATTCTGAAAGAAGTTTTCGAAGAGGAACATTCATCTCCCTTCTCT